TGGCTATCAATTGAAGAATGTCTTTGTTAACCGCTCCCCAAAACTACCACAGCTCAACCCCTGCCTCAGTAAAACTCCAGGAACTACTATTTGAAATCCAGAATTACTTTCCAGGCCCCTTGTTACGTTATTGCCATCATTCATTCTTAGAATGATTTAGGAAAAGATACACATACTCTCTAAGAGCTTATAGTGGCTCCTTCCTCTGTAGTTGTGAAATAGTGTCCATCTAGTGACTTTTAATGAGATACTGGACCTGAGGGATTTAAGCTTTTCAAAAATGATACCTAAGCACGTGAGATTTTTACCTAGATATTGTAGTGTAAAACCCTGCCCATTGTGCTCCCTTCCTTAGAGTGTCTAGGCAGGGAGAGATGTGCCTTTTTCAACCCTTCAGCATTCTCAGTGACCACAACTCAAGGAAATTTCACACTGGTCACTTTGTCTACCCCTGCATCACAACCAAGTGTACAAATATGGAAAGCTATTTAAAAAAATAAAGTTTTCCAGCTTGATTTCTACATCAGTTTGTAGTAATAACATGACCCCATTAAGTGGGATTAGAGATCACTGTGAAAATGGCTGGATGATTTTGATTGCTATTGTAAAGAATGTCTCCACCTTTACCAGGGGATTCCACATATTCTTTTACCAAACACTATATATCCGTCCAGAGCTGATGCTGTATTTGCAGAACACAGTTCTGCAGGTGCTGTTTGGAGAGGACTCTGAAACCCACGTCTTCATAAATACTGCTTTGTTTTGGGAGTCATCCATGGTGTAATGTAGACAAGCATTCATATATAAAAACTGCAGTATCCTTCACTGTAGAGCATGTTTGAGAGCTCGGGGAATGGCTATTTTTGCACTATACAAATTTTACTAAGAGAAAAAATATTTGTGCTGGAGTATTTGAATATGTGTATTGGACAACAATGAATTTCCAAAAGAAATACCACTTAAACAGAGAAACCTCAATCATCAGACAAGATGTGATCACAGAATCACAGTATAGGTGAGGTTGGAAGGGACCTCTGGTCACAGATCCATTTGTTCTCTGTCACCCTCCAAATGACATCCTGCTTATGAGATAAACTAATCTCTTATCATGACCCAGGACTGCTAATTCTCAAGAAGAAAATATCTTTATCCAGTATCTTGTCCAAGGAACAAGGTTTTGCTGAATCAGTCCTTTGTTCATCTAAATTAGACCAGACAAGGTAGTATTAGAAGATAATTCTATGTGGTCATAGAGCCTATCACTGTAAACAAAAACTTTTTTAGATGTGGGAATGTGGCAAGTACCCTTGAGTTTTGTTGAGAATTTTAGGAGAGCTTTTGGAAATAAAGCTTTTGGAGAGCTTTTTTGAAATTTGTTTAAAAAAAAAAAACAGAGAAATGAAGAAAAAGAAGACTATCTGATTTTCGTAATGGTTTTAACAAGTATCATACCCCCAGAACATCTCCTGTTCGAATAAAAGGAAAGCATGTATATGCTGTGTATATACTTAGGTATATTTATATATAGTCTGCTAAGAGATTGGCCTGGTTTCTTTTAAACAAGTATATATTGTTAGAGCAGACCCCAGTATAAAATTCTTTCACAGATAGATCCAAACTCTTGTAGTTATGCATATTTCAAAAGACGGAAAGGAACAGATGATAACTATGAAAAAACGTTGGAGACAGAATCTGGTTCCATCACCTACAGCCTTAATCCATTCCACTGATTTGCCTGCTTTTTCATTCGTTCGTATTAAGTACTTTTCCCAGTTCCAAGTAATGCAACTATCCCTAACTCACGCCAATAGATTTTTTTACATTGGACCTTTACTAGTTTCTAAAAGTAACATTTAATTGTTTTTTTTTTCTTATGTAGATCTTATATTATTAAAGCTTTACAATATATACCGTAGTGCATTAGGTTGCATATTTAAACAGATAGGAATATAAAATGAAAAATGTGTAGCTGTGTCTGTGCTAGCCAGAAAACATTAAGATTTGCAATTGCTTTTATTTTAATTGTACAACCTGAAGGTTGTATTAGCACATGATTATGCATTTAATTTTCTAGTTTGATTAAAAACAATTGCATGCGCTTATTCGTAGTTTAAGCGGTTCCAATTGGCTCTTGAAGTCTTTCACTTCAGTGAAGCAAATGGTTTGTGATGGACTTGAGTTCCAGTCCTTACTGCTCATTTCACTTTGACCAATAAGTTTACTCCAAGCCAGGGTTAACAAAGCTCATAGATACTGGTTTACAGAGTAAGGCTATATCATTCTAGAAATTATCCTTTTGGAAATAAAAGCTAAGTATCTTGTTGATATTATATAGTGCTATCATTATTGAAAACAATCTCTGAAATTATGAGATTTAGTTTATTTATTAGCCTTTGTTCAAAATATTTGAGAAATAAATTAGTGAGTGCAGTTTGGAAAGAGTTATAGATTTCTTTTAACTCTGCTAAAACTATAGCAGATTCCACCTTGGATTTATACAGAAGTCTTTTTTCAGTTGCTTATAACTTTATTGTTTTAGTTATCCCAGCAGCCAAGTAGGGATGCGGGGGAGTTATAATCCTGCCAAATTTTTGACTGTTTTAAATGTAATTTTGTTCAAAACGTGTTTGAAATTGCATTACAAATTTTAAAAAGCATAGTATCCACACTAATACAATTTAAGGAGTGCTTAAATTACTTTCTTAGAGTGTAGCAATCACTCCTGGCAGTTGGTTGAAAAAAAAAAACCTTAAGAGGTTTTCCCCTCTGTTCTTTCTACTCACAATTCTACTGATTTAAACCTTTTACTAATTTAGCTGACATACCAGTATTTTCAAAGAAATACTGGGAATGTAATCCACTTTCAAAACAATGTAAAGAGCTTCCAAATCTGACCTGTTGTGTGCACAGGGGAATGTGTCATTCTTGAAGCAGAGCTTCCTCAGGGAGGCAACTTGGCAATTGGTATAATGGCCAGTGATGCTACAGAATTTACAATGGCAAATGAAGAATATTATACTTGATAGAAACAGGGGGGTTATTTAGATAGGCATAATATACTATAGTTACTGAAGTATAAATGACTATGAAAGAAAGGGCTAGATTTTTCTCAAGGTGTTTCTGCTATATACCACATATTGTACTTAAAGAAGACATATAATCATGGTAAACATTCATAGACATCTCACTGCAGAAACTTAAAGAAGACATACGGTCACGGTAATCGTTCATAGACATCTCATTGCAGAAGGGTAGTATCCATGGGAGGTCTGGAGCCAGTGAAATGACTAGATAATCTTTCCGACTTACAAAATAGGGGCGTGGAGGAAAGGGAGGAACTTGCCCCACGCCACTGGAGTTCCTTGCTCCTATTTTGGTCCCGTGGGAATATTGGCAGTTTGCAAAAGCTGAAAGCAACCCTCGCCCCTCGCACTAGCACTGCTTTAGTTCTGTTTGTTCTTACCAGGGTACATTTGCTTGACAATGTAATTAATAATCAAGACCGAGAGATAACCACTCGTTTTTTTAGAAAATGGTCCTAGCTGGAAGGTGATGCATTCACAAGCAGAGTGCTTCCTAGTCTTATCATGGGTCGTGAGTTCACTCCTGTCCCAGAGGAGTAGGAGCGTAGTTTCCTGGCTTGCCAAGTCCATGCCCTACTGTTCCCAGCAACTGTATCATATAACCCTTTCTGAAACAGAACCAGTTCTATCTAAAAGAAGGTTAAAAAAAGCAAACAAACAAAGCCCCTCACAACTCCTCTTAGAAGACTGAAAGCCTGTATATATTTAGGGCAGTTTTGTAAAAACAGAGTTTATATCATATTTCAGTATAAGCTATTCCGTGACTCTCCCTTAGCTAAGAAAATCTAGTGAGATCTTACCCTGAAGTCATAGTAGTTCCCCTCTTTCTGCTTTCATTTAATCTCCCAAGGAGAAGTAATAGTCTCCCATGTGACAGCAGCAAAAGGAGATTTTCACCTTAAGGACATACACTGGAAATAAATCTGAAACACGTTTCCTTGCACTTAACCCAGCTCTTTATCTGGAAATTGCCATTTAGATTTTAGAGCGGTTTGTAGAAAGTCTGTGGGCGAGTCTTTGGCTACTTTGGTCAGACCATCAAATGGCTTATATTCTTCTTGAGATTCGTTTCAGTAGAAGGTGGAGGAAATATAGATTTAGTTCTTTTATTCAAACTCAGTAGATGGTTTGGGACAATTAATTTCCAATTGTCTCCCAGTAGAGCAGATTTACTTGTATATTAATGAGGCACAGGTGTTAGGCCCCTGGTGCCTGCATGCCTGGGAGGCATATTTAGGTTGTTTATCTAGTCAGCCATAGGTACTGCAAGGTACTCAAGCTTGCCTTTAACAGTTTATACAGTGAGGCTTTTTAATTTTTTGATGTTTTTTTAAATTTGCTAGCACCTGTTAAAATTTTAAAACTGATCATGTAGAAAGAAGTAGGAGTGATTTCAATAGTAAATAGCACTAAATGTTAAAGAAAGTCGTCTTCTATTATGCTTAACTGCCCAGCTTGACATTAAGAAGAAAAGAAGGTTCATTTAAGCAAATAAGTCATGTGAGGAACTAATAGAGTCAACAGTATACTTTTTTGTTGCATATTTTTGGAATAGGTACTTCTTTGTCTACAGCTGAAACATGAATGTGCTTATATTAATATTCATTTTTCTTGTTTATTCACTGAACTGCAGTACCAACATTTTAGAGGAAATGGAATAGCCTCCATAGACATTATGAATTTCAGTAGCTGGCATAATTATAGCGATCTACATATTCATTAAATCCAAAGAAGAAATGTGTCCAAAAAGACAGCCATGCGTTTAGAAATGGTACACAACTAAATATATATGTTTAAAAAAAAGTTCCTTTCCTGTGCTTATCCGCAGTGTGTAGTGGCATATAGCATATAGTCCTTAAATCAGCTAAAGCTTTTTTTTTTTGTTTAAGTGTTCATTCCTTTTGCTTTTGCACACAGTAAAGAATGGGAAGAACTATTTGTAAACAACAATTACTTGGCAACTATACGGCTGAAGGGGATTAATGGGCAGCTGAGAAGCAGCAGGTTCCGTAGTATTTGCTGGAAGGTAAGAAGAGAAAATATTTATTTACAGTTTGTGGTTGCAATATATCAACACATTACCTGATGCGCTGGAAGATTATTGATGCAAAGAATCATGAATTTTCCGAGAGACTTCATCCCAGTGTTTTCCTACTCATTTTTATAATTCATAGGACATTTGCTAATCCTGTTGAGTTGCCTTAAAGCTGAATTGCTGGTTTTAGCAAAAAATTCCTAGGAAATAATATCTTTGTGTCAGGTAGTGTGAATAAAATTGAGTGCAACGCAGCCACATCTTCTGCTGGTGTTGGTACATTGAAGTCATACACTGGAAATAAAAAGGGAAGTTTGTCCTACAATTTATATTTTGTGGAATTTGAGACTCCTTTAAAGCTAGCGTGCTGCTTCTGTTAGCAGCTTTTTCAGAGCAATGAGAAAATGAGGACAAATCCCTCTTGTAATGACTGGATAGAGAAAGAAACCAGGTCTTCCAGTCTTAAAACACAACAGGCCCTCAGAAGTCTGTGTTGTAGGAAGGAAGGTAGGAAGAAAGCGAAATAATACTGAGATGCTGTATAAGCCCTAAAGAACTTTCTTGGTCTGGCATCAGATGTTGTATTCTTCGTTAACTTGATAGTAGGGGACATGTTATCTTCCCAATTGGAGTCGCTACATGTGAATATTGATAAATTGCCGCACTTGGAAATTCTCAAGCTTGACATTGGCTCAAAGACCTATAAAAAGTGAATCAAATACACTCCATGTATGAAAGAAGCAGATTTGAAACACTGAATGTATGTGGCATTGAACACTTCCAAAGTTAATGACAAAATTGTCCTCAGGAGGCCAGATTAATATATGCTACAAGCATTATTTTGCCAGTCTGTTCCTTCCTGAGTACCTAACACAAGATGCCTAAGATCACATCCAAAAACCTGAACTAACAGAAGAATTGAGTCCCTCACTGCCCGGTAATTAAATCAAGTAGTGGTTTTATTCTAGAAGTGAGACTGGTTTTATTTACAGTGTCCAAATAGAGATTAGAGCTCTGTTTTAACTGCCTATTTTTAAAATGTTGTCGATATTTTCATTAAGTTATGAAATAATTAAATATTTTTATTGAATTTGGGAATGCTTTTTGTTTGGCAATGTTTACTATTTCATAACCCTTCATAATATGTAAATAAAAATATATATTTCAAAAGCAAGAAAATACACTGTATTTTTTTTTATCTTGCATGCAAGCAAATAGTCTTCTCTAATGGGTATCTCTTTTTGACCCTACTTAAACAGAAATGTGAAAGAACTGGGATTTATATTTTCTCAAGGACTTTTTGGAAAACTGAATCTCTTAACTGTTTCACAGAACTCTAGAACAGGTTTATTTTCTATAAAACAAGATTTTCCTCATCCACATTTCTTAGATAATCTCTGAGTGGTTAGTTTCTGCTCTGCATTCGTATTTGTTTTTAGGCACATTGCATCAGCTCTTGAGTGTTACGGAAGCAATTCCACGTTTTGTATATTTCAATTTAATTTCTTCGTTACATTTTGTTTCTGCTTTGGAAATCTCAGTCAGTTTTACTGGAGTTGTGACAGTTTACAAAGCTTGAGTTTGTGCCTTTGGTAGTTTTTAATGCTTTATGTTGTGCTATAGAACTGTAATGGTTTCTAGCTTTTTATTTATTAACGAGAAAGTCCTAAAGCCAAGACCACTTTGTAGGTCTTTGCTTCCTTCTCCCTAGTTGTAGAATACTTGCTCCTCCGTTCTGAGATGGTTTATGCCCTCCAGTAGGATTTACATGAAAAACTATATTAAATTGATTAAACTTAACTGCTTTATTTTGTTTTGTTAATAGCTATTTCTAGAGGTTCTACCCCAAGACAAAAGTCAATGGATTAAAAACACTTCAGAGTTAAGAACATCTTACAACAAGATCAAAGAAATTGTAAGTTGGTGCAAAATAGGTTCTCTCCTCTCACGGTCAGACATAGGTATAATACCTACAGCCTGAAGGAGGGGTATTTAATATAGAAACCTTGTTCTCTTTCTACCCAGCATATTACAAACCCACGGAAAGCAGGACAGCAAGATCTGATCATCAACAATCCACTGTCTCAGGATGAGGGGGTAAGCTGACCTGTAGTTTTATCAGCATCTATGTTACTAAAAGTATCATCATCATCATCATATTGACAAAAGTGAGTTCTTGCTGAAGACAAAACAGTAGCTAGACAGTAGTTCTCACTCCCGTATTTCCAAACTGTCTTGTGTTAACAACCAGCTCACAAGCTCTGTTGGGCAACCAGAAATGCTCATTTCTTGCTTAATACTCTGTTTTTTCAGTGCTTTTAGCAGGGAATGCTGTGGTGAACAAGAAATCCGTGCTGGAACATCATTCCAGTTTTACAAAATGTCCTTTCTTGGATTGATCTACTCATTTATTGCTGTACATTTTCATTTTATATGCACAGTGGTTCTAACTGAAGGAATATTTAAACAGTCAGTACAAAATGGAATACTGTTTAACCTGGAAAGTTTTCCTCTAGCAAAAAAGAGAATTGTTGCACATCTGAGTAGTATACAAGTTGATTGAATGTTGAAAGTACCAGGCTACAGGATAATCGTTTGCTCCAGATTTTTAATTCTTTTGCTTCAGCAATTTTTGTTAAAAGACACAAAAGTATCCAGCAGTTACCAGAGAGCAACCAGCTGCAAAAGGACAGATCCAGATTTCCAGGAAATACTCAAAATGTGGCAAAACTATTTTATCTGAGTGTCAGTAAGTGCTGAGCATCCAGCTCTCATTGAAATTAATAGGAGCTCCGCATGGCTCGGTGTTTTGGAAGTTAGGACACTTTGATTAGGATTTAGGTATAGATTTGGGAGCTTAATTTAGGCAACTCTTTTGCGAGAGAGAGAGAGAGACTGTTGCTTGTTCATTTTGCTTATACTGGAATAGGACTTAAATATGATACAGCACGTTATCATTTTGCTATCTTTTTACTGCTATAGAAAATTCTGTTTTACCGTATTTTTAAAATAGCTTAATATCATGAAAATAACTTGTCTGACTCAATTTAAGAGATTTATGCTGAAAGAGAGTTTTCACAAATATAGGAAGGAGTAGTATTACTTGTACTTCCATTTTGTTCATAAATTGAAGCTAATAATAAGTTTATGTTTATTGTAGTACTCTGCTTCATATTTAATGTAGAAGGACATGTTTGAATGGCTCTCCTTGTAGAAACATGGAAGTATTGACCACAGGCACATTAGTGACTCTGCAACTAGTATGACTCTGCATGCCATCAAACCATTCCTGCATCCAACTGTACAGAAAGTTGTTGCAAATACAGAAGATTTAAGTTTTTTCTGCTGTAGTTCGTGACTGTACACAATAATACAACTTGATTTCTGCCTATGAAGTCTTCACGAGGTACAAGCTAGAGGTTAAAATGTCAGTGTATGTGGCAGTGAATTAACCTATAAAACAAAGCTAGAGGGCAAATAGAGCATAGGAGTGAAGAGCTAAGTGCCCTTGAGCCTCTGCAATGATTTAATGGTTTACCATTTTGCAGTGTCCTGGGTTTTGCTTCCCTTTTGGCAATGAAGATTCTGACTTCTTGGTCCTTCACTGTGAAGGACCAATTGCGGGGGGTGTAGGTTTCAAAATGTGATATAGCTGCATTAAAAGAGCTCTAAGTAAGATACAACGTATCTTATTTAAGATAAGAAGATATTAGTTTTAAGTGGGACATTGTCAAGGATTTAAATAACCCACCACAACAATGAATTGTTTACAAGGGAGCAAGAGAGTCTGGAAGTATTGTAGCCACTGTCTTTATATGGTATTTCATTCGCTGCTGCCGCTATCCAAAAACTAACCTAAATGAAAAGATGGCTGTAGGTTATGTTTCTTCTGTATTTTGGTAAATATTGCCAAGCTACTATCCCTTTACTGCAAAGAATCGGCTTTACTTCACACTACTCTTTCGTTAATATTACCCTAATGTGATGACATAGACTGGAACATTTAAATAATATTTGCTGACTTTATTCAGGTTAGCTTCTGTGAAACGTTGGTAAGCAAGGCATGGAAGCAGAAGAAAGAGAATGGAAATGGGCATAAGCACAGATATAGAAGAAGCTAAACCTACTTGGAACTCTGTTGTTTTTTTTTTTTTTTGTGTTGATAATGAACTTGAAATGCTCTAGTTTTCTGCATAAGAACCTTTTTATAATGACTGATCTTGATTTGCACTGTGTATATGTACCATTAGAATGGTGTAATTTTCATAATAAGTGTTTAATCATCATAGATTCCTTATTTGAGTATGCCTCCAATACGACAAGCTTACTTGCTTGCAGACAATTTGTTAGCATGAAAATTGTAGCACCTTCTAAATAGAGCCTATAAGTTTATAGGAGAAATGTAGTACAGTAGGGTGATACAGGCCTTTTTCAGTGAGTGAACTACTGAGTTTTTTTGAGTTGCGATGTTGGTCCATGTAAGTTTGAATTTACTCTACCTCGCTAAATATTTCCATAGATCCCTTATAAATAACCCCCAAACCTGGAGCCATCCATGGCATGAATGGAGTGAGCATGGAACCAGGATCCAGGAACTTGAATGCTTTTATCTCTGATCTAAACTGACTTTCTAGGATACTTAAAGCTAGTTCCAATATTCTTTTTCACTCATAAAGTATTGATATATCTATCTGCCAGGGATGTTGTGGATTAATTAGTTAATATTTGTACAGTACTTTGCTGATATAGTATATCAACCTTAAGTATCGCCGGAAGTCTCTGTTTCTTACAATTATTTTCCTTATTTCAGAGTCTTTGGAATAAATTTTTCCAGGATAAAGAGCTTCGAGCAATGATTGAACAAGATGTGACAAGAACGTATGTAGATCTTTCTAAAGAAATTTCCATATATAAATTTTGATCCTGCATTTTCATGTGGTACACACTATATTGTGTTTCGTTGACAGGTTAGTGTTAATGTCAGGATTGCTGAACATGAATGTGTAGAAACATGCACTAAATGTGTAAAAAGATAGCTTTCTTGGAGTGAAGAAGTGGAAAATTGTGTTTAACTTTAAACCCTAGAGATTTATTGGTATTATTGGAGAAAAGCGCTTTTAAATTAAAATGTTAGGAAATGTATTACTATATGAAAGTTAAAATAGTTTTCCATATGAATCAAAGAGAAAGTAAGAGAAACCAAAAGGTCTTTAAACTAAATTATAGTCATAGTAAAAGATTGAAGCAGATTACTCTCCGTAATTTTTTACACTTATTCAATCAATAATAAAAAAGCAGCGTGTAATTAGTGAGGGAAATGTCATTCATCTAGAGAGGTTAAGCGCTTCTATTTTTATTTATCACTTTTCTAATGTTGTTTGTCACATATGCCTTTTAAAATTTGTCCTAATATTGCTGTGACTATCCTTTCATGTTCTTGGCCCTTAGGTCATTCCCGTTTAGGAACTTTTCAGAGTTAGAACACTCAGTTCCTGAAAATATTTCTTTTCAGAGTTGAAGCATTGACTCTGATGTGTAAATCTAATTAAATTCAATTATAGTTCTGCTAACATGTGACATTTTACTATATTGCAAATATATTTTTCTTATAATTTGAAAAAAGTGATGATAGTCATAGATTTTAAAAATCCCAAGCTCACACATTTTCATTTACAGAAACAAAGTCATGCGGAAGAAATCATTGCTCTCTGGTTTTGGAATATTTTATATGTCTGTCCCTAGACCCGTTCTTGAATGCATTTTTGCAATGAGATGTGTAATTAAAATCTGAGTATGCTTTCATGTGCATTCTCACAGATGGTAGTTTTTCTTTGTAGAAGGGAACAGTTCAGGATGTTCTAAGATTGAAATATATACATATCTAAACTATAATTGGAGAATGAAAATGGGTATAGAAGTTATGTTGGATTTAAGACTGTTTATTTAAAATATATATATATGAAGTCCAGGCTCTCACTCTGGCAAGTGGCAGAGTGATGAGTGTTCAGTTATGGCAGTAATAGCAACTAAAGAAATTTCAATTTATATATTTATACAAAATGTTATCTACTTCAGACAATAGCAGGATACATCATGTGTCATCAATATCAAAATAAGTCAGACAATGAAAAAGCAAAATTTATCAGAGTAACAGGAATTTATTTCATTTCTCAAACTGTATGCATTTATGTATACAGTTGTTACTTAGTCATAAAACATAGAATGCATTTGTCGTATATATGTGTCTGTTTACAAATTAGCGTTAGTGTAAGAAGCAGTAAGTTGTACATTCCTTGGCTTTGGGATGTAAGTACCTTGTCTTTATTGTTGTCTTTTCCATTTCCATTCTTTAAATAAATTCCTAGAGTTATAATTTAAAGATTTGTCATTTACTTATAATGTATTATAGTGAAGTTTAAAATGTTAAAAATGCTTGGGTATATTCAATTATCATCATCATCATCTTCTGTTTCTTATTTAAAGAATGCTTTTATACCCTGTCCCTGGGTTAAATACTCCATGATCCAACAGCCTAAAGTAAATAACATTCTATAGAGTGGTGCTAACTGCACACAGAGAATCAGACCACATAGAGTCCAATCTAACAAAGCAATAAAAAATTTGCTTTCTAATGTTTTTAATAAAATTCTCTAAAGTGTAGTAATAGTAGACTGGAAAAAGCAGGTAGAGATGTGATTTTTAAATTAGTGGTTTTTAAATGGTTCTAAATTTCAAAATTCCATTATCTAAAGGGTAGTGTGAGAAGGTTGAACCAACACACTTGTTACTGCTGTATTTACCTGAAACCTTTTGTCTGTAAAGCTAGATTTTCATGGCAACTTCATATCTAAAAGAGGATTAGAAGAATATGCGTATTACTTCAATTTTGATGCATTATTTGGTGAAATAAGATATTTTAAGTAAAACATTACATAGGATTGTCATAATGTTGTCGCAGCTTCATGAGTTTTTGATACAATATGCCTTTGTACTTAATATTGAAAATATTCAGAAGCAACTTTAAAGATCATTTCCTAAATGCTTATCTCACCTAACTTCAGATTTCTAAAGTATAGATGCTGATAACTGCACTAATCATCCTTTAGGCTCTTTATACCTGGAGAATTCTAGGCCACAAATCATCTCTTCCTAAAGCAAATGTTTAATATAGGACACATGAATTACACTATAGAGGAGTGTGTTTTTCTCCAATAATCACAAAAGGATTCTAGCTCACATGTATCTAACTGTATTGCAGTCATCTAAAGTTAGAGGAGATTAATCCCACCCATAATGTCTAAATACAATTTTTCTAGCAAAATCTTTGGCCTACTGCATAATAGCAATTTCCAATACTTACAAGCAAAGTAGGGAAGGGTTTTGTTAAGTTAATCCTAACTACTGATTAACACTTCTGATTAATAACCTGTCTCTCTCTTTTCTTTTTTTTTTTCCTGGATGGCATTTGAGAGGTTCAGAATGGATTTTCCTTCGGCTATCTAGAAACACCCATTTTTGAGCTGGAGCGAAATATAATCTGTTTCTCTCTCAAATGAGAAGCATCTCAAAAATCAGGGTGGGAGGGTGGGTATTATAGTGAAAGTAAAAGTCTTACCATAATTACGGATAGCCGTACCTAACAAGTGATGACTGCATTCTATTACTTCACTAAGAAAGGAACTTCTGCATGAACTAGCACCATAGTAACTTGTAGTAGACGTAAGAACACAATGATTAATTACTGTCTTTCAAAAGATGTACCAAAGAACAATGCTGATTATTTTCTAATGATTAAAAAGGTAGGAAGAATTTTTCAAAAGGTAGGAAGAATTTTTCAAAATTTTTCTGCTGAAATGGAAATCAGCAGATTCACAGATGGAAGAGCACCAAGCTATCAGTCAAATCAAGATAGCAGCCTACTTGTGGCATCACCTTTTAAAGTTACAATTGTAAATGGCCAAATTTGATCGTCCTCTTTTTCTTTCCGGTAACTTAAGACAACAAAACACTTACAGGTTCCTAACTAGGTAGACTAACTTGGGGATAGGGGTGTTCTTTTGTGGTAGTATACGTGTATCGGTCTAGCCAGTTTCTGTTTCAGGAGCAGCGGTGGCAATGTAGGAAAGTGGAAGACGTGAAGATGAGGTTGCTGCTATTTCAAATTCTCTATCTCCCAAATAACAAAAAAAAGACAAAAAAGGAGTGGAGGAGCCATTAGGTATCTATGTCATTCTTCCTAATGGAAGATTAGGAAGACATAGGAAAAAACAGCAATCTGGAGTAAGAGCACAAGAGACATAATCTAGTTTCCCAGGAAGAGGAGAGACGAAGGGAGAGCCAGAAGGGAGAGCTACCTTTATGCACCAGTTTATTGCCTTAAAAGCAAAAGTGAGCAGCAGTTTCTTTTTAAAGGTAGCTTTCCTCAGTCTTGCTAAAGTATAACCCAGCTGAGTAGCAGGGCTGAGGGATGGCAGGGCGTGTAATCTGTCTATGAAGAAAAGAGAAGGCAGGTCACTCTGCAGCAGTGGTTGAGAGTCTCCTCTGAGGCTGCTACTAAATATATTTTTTAAAGTATCTGTGGGTCCTTGTCTTTAGTTGCCAACCTGATTTCCTTTTGTGTCAAAGTTTGACTGTCAGTGGTGTAGAGGCCCCTAAAAGGCCTAAACTAACGTTTTAAAAAATGATAATTAATTCATGCTTATCTTCTCTGTCAGAAAGCAGGGACTTGAATGCACTTTCGTTTAATTATAGTAGTTGTGGTAAAGCATTCTAGTAAAATTCCCATTTCCTTATGCAGTCTTTTTCCAAGACGTAATTAAATGTAATATCCAAGTATTCTTGAAAACTATTTTTACCTTGCCTGATTTGAAGTTATTGTATTTCTAAAACAGTGCTTTAATCATAAATGACATTTTTCATTAAAAATCCTTCCTGAACTGATAGTTCCCTCATGGTCCCTTGTATTTACATTTAGTATAATTAATACTTCAGCTAGCTTATTCATGAGTTCATTATTATCCTTCCTGTCACAATCTCTGGTATTACGAGATCCTCACAGATATCTCTGTGTATTTTTGAGTTTTCTTTGTTAGTCTTCTTTTCCTAAACTTCATAGGGCAGACCTGAATAACAGTCCTTCAGAAATAATCTCTTCAAACTCCTAAATTATGTCGATTGCCATCTGCTGTAATGTACCTTTCTGGTCTCAGCTGTGTCCTTCCTTTACAGTAATATGATTACTGCAAGTGCATACAACTTTCCAAATGCTGGTCTACCATTACCCCATCAGGTGCCAGGAAAATGTTGCACTCTTCATCCCAATACCTTTCTCAGTACTTTAATTTTATCCATTTAAGCCATAGTGTCTTCCCTGCCTTGGCTCTTGAATAACGTCTTTCATCGAATGACTTGAAAGCATGTTTCTAGCTTACCTGTCGTTACTTCTGTGCAGTGACCACAGGAATTGTTAACGCTAATAGTTTTATCTGAAGCTGTTTATCATATTTTCTTATATTGCTTCTCCATGACAGGCTTTACTAAGCCTTGAGATAACTGAAGTTTAGCATTGCAACTTCCAGACTTTGGAACAGGCAAGACAAAATTTACAGCTTAAGAAAGTTTAGCTGTAATCCATATGACTTAATTTTAATGCCGACAATGCTATAACCTTGATCTTAGCAAGCTAGCCTGAGGCATACAGTTGTTGTTTTTGCAAGTGTTCTTCTGTTTCTCTCTGTCCGACCTTACCTTTTCCTTTCTTTCTGGAAATATACCTTTCCATTTATATTTTCTTTTTCTTTGTTATTGTTCCACACAGTTGCATGTGCTTTTGGATGGTCGCTTTTTTAAATATTTCTTGTCATCAAGTTAAGCCTTTGGTAATCATGAAGACACTTTTGTTTGTGTACTTATACATTAAAGTACATCTGTAACGAGTTAATCTCCCACTGTCTAACAGTCGAGGAGCGGGATGCACAGGTGAGAGTTACATCAGAACAGTTACAGATTCCTAATATTTACATTTTCCTGGATTACATGCAGATAACAGGATTTTCCCAGAAGGTTTTTCCCCTTTTTCTTAACACTAATTCCATTTTATTCTATTTCACTTACTGGATATTTACTCTGCCAGCATCTCAAATGATTTCTTAATTTTCAGGTTTATTTGGGACAGCACTAATGACAGTGAAATGCCTAATTATCTCAGCAAAGGATGTCAGTAGGATATACTGGAGCTTGCTTAGAGCTCAAGAAAATTAGGACACCTACTTTCATGTCAGTTGTGAGATATTTCAATAATATAGTCATTAAAATGCTAATATTTTTTCAGATATTCATGAAATATTGAACCCTTGTGTGTATTCTTCTTTTGACATAGCCTCCATTTCTTTTCAGTTTGGTTCTTTGCAAACTACTTATCATACTGTAGTTGTTGTGCTCTTCGTAGTAGCTTGTTTTGCCCATCTTTTATCTTGAGAAAAATGAAGAGCAGGACTATTCTTGAATCTGCAGGACAGATTGATGATCCAGTTATAGTTGTGAGGCTAGCACAAATTAAAGAATGCAGGCATGTCATGCGAATTGTGCTTTTACCTATGTGAGATTTGATCTCTAGGGCTTATTTTTCCGGTACCAGAATCAAATTATTCAATAGCTAACTCTTTTCAGCAGTTTTAGTTTTAACTCAGATTTCTTGTTTGTTTGTTTTTAATCACTCTCCTTTTTTCAGTATTCGTAGCAAGTTTCAGATTCATTGGTGCAGGACTGATGATCAGTGGAGCACTACCTGGGCGTTGCTATTATTGGGCTGCTGTGCTACCTGGGATCAGAACAGTCTTTTGGGTGTGTAGGTTCAACAGCAAGCATCTGTGTGCAGGAGGAAGAGGGCAGATCTGGGCTTCAGTCATTGCTTCTCATTCTATCTCCTTCCTTTTTCTTTTTTTTTTTTTTTTTTTGGCAAAACTTGTTTTCATGACAGGGACTTGGAGGAACAAAATAACTTGATCCTTTAGGCAGCTGGGAGTATGTAATCAGATGGTGCATTGTCTTTTTTGGATTAGATTCTCCAAATCACTCAGACTTTCAGCAGATTGGCTGTTTGTAGAAGTTGACATTTAAAACAATGTGCCATTTTATGTCATTCTTGCAGATCTCTAGCTTTCATTATGTTAAAGGGCACTATGCATTTAAATAAAACTGGCAATATCATATATATGTAACAGACTGATGTATGTTAAAAGAAGATGGTTCAGAATTTTGTTTGCAAAACAAATATGACATGTCTTTAGAAGTATTCCAACAGCACCCACAATCCACAGAGAGATGGGTAAACAGTCAAGAAGGTACTATCTTAGCCAGAGCTGTTTATAGAGGACCAGCTACTGTGCCTTTGTGAGCTACGTAGTTTACTTTTGCTGTATTTCTTCGTTTTCAGCTTTCCTGAAATGCAGTATTTCCAGCAAGAGAATGTGAGGAAAATTCTTACAGATGTTCTGTTCTGCTATGCCAGAGAAAATGAGCAGTTGCTTTATAAACAGGTAATGAAAATATTGTACAGGTGGCATTCATAGAGTCAACATTTTCTATAGTTTTACGAATGATTGAACAGTAATGTAGTTCTATTGTATCTGAAATTGTATCATAATGCTAAAGTAATCAAAGAGCTGCTTGTCAGCTGTATAGTAAGAAAAGTAAGCTCATTGAATAACATATGCTTTTTCCTCATAAGACATTCCCTCAAATTGTTTCGTATAAGGTTGCTGAGTTGTCTAACTTTGAATTTCTTTAAAAACAACATCTTTTTCTTCAGAGTTTCTTCAGTGATAGTTTAAAAAAGTAAAAGGCTTTCTGTGCTTCAGAGAAGAAAGAAAGAAAGAAAAGAATGTAGCAGGACTAAAAATGCTACTGAACAAGCAAAAAACAGAAATAGTGACTTTTGAAATTCAGACAAACTTTAATATCTTAAGTTTTATGTGATATTTTAAGTTCTGAGTTCTTTCTCAAAGTGCTAAAGCCATGCTGTACATTAACAAATAGATCCTTTATCTAATCCTGTGGGATCCAAAATAATGTAGTCAACTAGTGTCTCCTGACTGAAGGATAAGGCGACAAGCGAAGACCGCAGAAGGAAAACCTGTTCAAACTGTTTTTGTTAAAATGGTAAAGATAGCCTTAAAGCTGCCCTAACTCTGCATCCTTATGGGATGAGGGCTAAACATTTGTTCTAAAGGTTTTGAATCAAGTATAAATTTGATACTAAATGACTGTAGCAAAGCCAATATGCAGAATGGTAGACAAAAGTATATCTGTATTTATTTCCCCAGGATATTAACTGTTCAGAGAGTAGGGACTGACAAATTGAGGAGTACTGTGTGCCTGGGCAAAGACTAACCTGTACAGCAGCAAACGTTAGGTAGACAGCAAATTTTTTATGACAAGAACACAGAGCTTCAGTAAATGTACATATTTTTATAACACACTTTATGTTTTCAGGCATGGTCTGTGACCGCCATGTCTTCAAGCCAGGAAATTAATTGCACTTGATGAGAAGAGCAACACATACAAATTGAAGGAACAGTTACTTCTGAAGAACCATCTTACAGATAATATCAAAAGTCAAATATATAGTTATCGAACATATCAAATCTCCCTCAGCTGGTTATTTTTCATGTTTGACCGAGTGTGAGCAAGGAATAGTCTTGCATCATAACAAGAGAAAAGATGAGATGTATAAGCTGCACTTTGAAAGGCACAGCTAAAGAAAACACTTCAGTAGTATTCAGCTTCCCCTTTCTAGTGAATATAGGCCAGAGTACTGATGATGGTAAAATGGAAAAACACATTCCAGCTAATTTAGTCTATCATTTATTGAACAAGAAGTATTATTTTTCTCTTTGATATGACTTAAAAGAACTTAATTACCCTCTGCTCATATTTAAAATCCTCTAGATTCCTTACCAAGAAATAATACCTTTCTACATAGGGATGGAATATTTAGCTAGATCAAATTTAAGAAAAAAAAAAAAAAACGAGTTTCATCACAAGCTGTTAAAGCTATTATTTTGTACTAGGTGACACCCCGTTTAACATAGACCATATTGTTAATAGTTATGGGATTTTATTGAATTAATGAGACTGTTATCATGTAGTAGAATGTCTTGCTGAGTTAATTGAAACTGCAGAGATTATATAAATGGTATTAATGAACTTTGACTGCCTGATGCCTCAGCTTTAATAAAGACTGCTTGGTGGGCTAAATGAACATAGGCAGATAAAAGAACAGGTTCAATTTTGCAAGCCTACAGGCTGTTGACAAAGAAAACTTCTTCACCTCTGTTTTTGCCTGGTGTTGCTTCAGTAGTGCAGTATTTTCAGGAGAGGGTTGCCACAGGACTAAAGGGAGAGGTAAAGTACAAAAAATGAAATAAATTTGGATGAAGAAAAACTGTTGATTTAATATCTCTGATGAGTGTTCAGTACATCATCCAAGTCTGGTGGTGCTATGCCAAGTTTACAGAACAGCAAATGGTTGTTTTTTGGACTTGTATCACTTTTATTGGGAGAGTTTCCTATTTCTTACCTCATTTTTAGAGGGGAGAGGTCTTAATTTTTTAATTAATGATTCTGTTACCTTATTAGTAATAATCATACTGTTTTGTCCCCATGTTCCTCTCTCTATAGATACCATTTCTTTCATGGCCATCAGTACTCTTTTCAGAATTAGTTAGCAGAAAGTAGAGTTTGTGGTGGAGTCAGCATTTTTTTTTCTCTTTTATTAAATACCTATGTTGTGGTCAGGCTTCTTGTCTTACCAATTTTCTTGGGTCCATTTTCACCATTGACTCAAGCCCCACTTCCAAAAAATCTCTGCTACAACAAGGCATAACATTTTTTCTTGAAGATAATAAAGGTTACCATTAATTACTTCATCAGTAAGCTGCTCTCTCTACAATGACATAAATACAAAGCCAGAGTTAAGATGTTTCTCTTGATATTTAGTATCCATCATGGAACTGGCCCTGTTGCCATCTATGAGATTTCCTCTCTCTTCTTTTTTATATGCTCATACAAGAGTTACATTTACTGTATCAATTATAAGACCTGGCCAATAAATGAAAGCTTATAGTTCATCTGGCAACATCTGTACAGGACCTGGCGTTGCTCTTTTAAAATATTTGGAAAAGTCTTCGTTTTGTGACAATTTCCATCCCTATAAACGTAAATAGAATGTAACTGAAATTTACAATATTTTATTGAAACTTACTACATAGCTTCAGCATATATGCTTACAAGAAGCAATCAATATATTTGTTTAATAAGCATACATGCATAAAGGTTATCTTTGTAGTAGGTTTTGTGTTTTTTGACCAATACAGAGTAACATTTTACTTGATGGGCAAGAAGATATTTCTATCCCGTGTCAAATGGAGTAGAATGTTGTGAAGCCTGAATCCTCCCTGGGATGCTTGAATTATTAAATAGTAGTTGTAAATATAAAACGTAAAGAGAATAGTATATTCTACTTAAAAATACGTAAAAATTACTATTTGCATTCTTCTGCAAGACAGGTGTCAAAATTGTGGTTCTAGTTACACTGGAAAAAATAGTGATAATTAAGCTAAATCATTAGGCTTTTGTTCATGCATAATTTGATTGTCCTTAGAGAAGTCACTATAATTTTGAAATGCATTGATTCACATTTCGTTGTAGAAATACTGTATTTCTGTTTTCCTTCTGAATCCTAAGAGTGCGTTATTAAATCAATACTTTGTTATAGCTAGGAAACGTCAAAAAATTATCTGAGTTCTGTCAGCTTATTTATTAACGCTAAAGAGTTTTAGTAAACTGCAGCATTGAAAAAATGTAAGTATGTATATTACACTGGTGGCTTTTCTTGCCAAGCTAAACCTCTCTTAACATTTGAAGTATTCTTGTAACTGAAAGATCAGAGGTATCTTTTTGAAATCCTGATATATCATCATCTATTTGTTTTGTTTTTGTTGTATGTGGGCAGCCACATTATGATTCTACTTTATTATAAAGTTGATATATTACTATGTTGAAAGAATGTGTGATGTGCTTTTATCTTTTAGAACTAATTCTTATTTTATATCCTCTTTCTTCAGTTTATATGTTTACAGTTTAGGTGGTAGTTTTATTAGCTATTCAAGTTTTTGGCATCCCTATTTCTCTTATATACACTGTGTATATGTGTGTGTGTGTGTGTGTGTGTGTGTGTGTGTGTGTGTGTGTATACACAGTATATCAGAGTGAATAAGAGATTAGACTTGGAGCTGTTAGTTAACTGATGTCTATGAGTATATTTGAAAGTGCAACACATTATCTACAATTTATTTAAGTATTTTTACCACTTCTGTTTATCACCTAATGCTGGACTATCTCCCAGTGTCTCATATATCTTTCCCGTCTTGGTATGACCACAAGACTTTCAGAAATCTAATGTTGTCAATTTGTAATCTAACCCACATTGTTGTGTGAGAATTTTACATCGGCTTCTGGAATCAAGTGGGTACAGGAGAACCTTGATTTTAATCTTTTTTTAATTGAGCTTCTATGTAGCCTTCATCTTTCAACATAGTCCTTAAAGGTTCGGAAATCAGAAGGGAAAGAAAAAAATCCAAACTTAAGTAGTTTTGATGCCTTTATCTTTGCCCAGTCAACTGACTCTGCTATTTCTCCAACCCTGCAGTTGAGACTAAATCCCAGGAAATTTGATTTTCATTCCGTTAGAATTGATACAGCTGCTATAAATTGATAACATGCAGAGATTTTTCTAAACACCTTTTTTCTTTTCCCCCAACACTGCTGCAGATTGGAACTTCCTCTTATGAACAGATAAGGTTCACTTAACATGCTTCAGAGCACACTCAGAATAGATGAGCATCTAGAGAAGGCTTCCACATCTATCTGGGTGCTTAATAAACCATCTTCTCTCTGCTAGGTTTGGACCATTAAGGAAAATCTCCATTATTTCTAATAAAAGTTTAAGGATTTTTGTACTAATGGTGTTGTATGATGCTTATGAAGATGATAAACAACTCACTGAGCTTGAATACTCCTCAAATGCTACATGGAATACCACAGTATCCCTAGAATTTTAATCATGACCTGCCTAATTGAGATCTTAAATACTTCCACAGGTACTGCCCCAATACACAGGTGTGAGAATCCCATCAGTCAAGACAAAATGTGAGGTTTCCTAAGCTTCTGGCTCTGGTGGAAGCACAAAACAAGACCATTTCAAGTAGGAGAATTGCCAGTCTCCAAACCCCAGAGTGCCAGGCCATGTACTTGGAAGGACTTTGGCCCAAATGGTCCAGTATTCATCCCTAAAATGCATCATGCATCATCCTGTGTCAGTCCCATGGCCTTACTTTCAGCTGTTTCTGGCCCAAATGTTGGTTTGATCTGTCCAACAGTTTTTATGCCTTCAGCAGAGAGATATTTGCGGCTGAGAAAGGCCATCCCCTTACATTTGGCAAGCATGACTATCCCTGTGAGTAGGCCTGGATACTGAGGGCTTGGGGACTCTGGAGGAAAAGGAGGAAGGATGGGCAGCTCTGTAGGAGCTTCATAGCTCTGAAGGCCTCAAACTGATACACTGCTGAAGCAGCAAGGTAGATCCATGAGATAGTGACATGTTCAGTGCTCACTTCTATCTGTCATGGAAAAGGCTGGAAAAGCAAGTGGAGAGGCTTCCTAGCTTGGAAACATAATCGTGAGAGCAGACCAGCTCCTCTGTGGGGAGCTGTCCTCTGACTCCCAACAGCAGCCTGAAGTGCCTTAGAGCTTGGTGGGCTAGCCTCCAAGGTCATTCTGCCAACAGGATTGACACCAGGGTCTTTCTGACTCTCCTGTCTGTTCAGAATAAGCACCTGGAGTTGGGACTGAACCAACTGCAAGTGGATTCGGAAGTGGCTGAAGGCTTTAGGCTGAGGTGTGGAATTGCCACCTGCCTGGCATAATCACCGTGTGCAGGAGCTGCCAGCCGAGGGGGCCGGCCACAGCACCAAATCCTTTCCATTACTGACAAGCTCTCTCACTTCTTTTGCCTGGCTGATCCCTGTCCTCAGCCTGTGGTTTCTGTGGGTTCTGTCCACCTCCCTAGTCCCTTACGGAGAGCCAGGCTCCCTTGACACATCCAGATTCCCCAGCTGGGATACCCCACATCCTCCTTTCCTGATGTTAACTCAGGGAGGGGGCTGAATTCTCCCACAGATGAGGTTTCATTCTGCAGGCTATAGCTTTACTTGCACATGTATTGCTGTTAGTAACAGTTGCTTGTTTCCTGAAGCAGTTACTTCTGCTTCCGGTAACAAATTGACAAGCGCCAGGTGAATCAAGGCAAATAAAGATTTATTTTGTTCTTGATGAGCCAGCCCCTCGATGGAGGCAGCGATGGCTCATCTGGATGGCCCACCCATGCTTCTAACCTTGGGCCAAGCCGAATCCTGAACTACCCACCAGTTGGCAACTTTTTCCCATTTTGCTTCATGCATGTTTTAATATTTTGTCTGTATCTGGACATAGGTTGTACATATAAGTAACGGTCCATAATGGAACAGTACCAAGTTTTCCTATGCATTGTCTTGTAAGGAGTTTATTCTTAGTATTGACGTAATGAAAATATTTTTTAAAAAAGCAAAAAGCCCTTTTTATTTCTAGTATCCATAGGAATTGAAGTTTCATTTTCTAATTTCCCAAATAGCTGCCTTTGTCTCTTCTGAAGGCTACTGTTTTGCTGGTTTTGGAACATTATCAAATAAAAAGTAATTTTAAATTTTGTAATTTGTCCTTATTGCAGATCTTTGTACTGTGGATCATGATTGTAATTATCATAAATAAAATTCATATTTATGAACATAGATCTTGGAGTAAACTGCCAGGTGCAGGGTTGCCTACCATAGCCAATTTGTTGTCTGTTATGTTAGAAAAAGAGAGAATAACTTGCTTCCCATATATTATAGAAGAATAAACACTTAGATTTAATCAGAATTTAAAATAAAAGCCATTGATTATGAAACCATTCTGTTAAGAATGTAAATGTTCATGCTTTTACTTTGTCTGCAGCTAATATTGCTGGCTGCCTGATTCTGAGCATTTATGAGCTGTTAAATGAATGAAAATTCTTACTGTACTTTTGTTTCCTTTTATGTTTAGGGTATGCATGAACTTCTAGCTCCCATTGTCTTTATCCTTCATTGTGACCACCAGGCTTTTTCACATGCCAGTGAAGCTGCACAACCAAGGCAAGCGCTGTTTTATTCATATAGTATTAAAATTCCTTTTTCTTTAAATACTTACATGTGCATATATATATATCTGTATATAAATTTATCAGACTAAGAACTTACAAATAGGTGTTCTTTAATTCCATGTTTATAATTAATAAGTTAATACCAGAAATTGCTGCATCCTCATGCTCCTATGGGACTGTCCTTATTTCATCTTCTCTATCACAGCTTCTAAAGAGAGGGTGTAAAGTGTAGAAGTTGGGCACTTCAGAGATGTTAGCTAGAGAAAAATGGGAAGACAAGAAACCTGAAAGAAAACGTTAATCAGAAGGCTTAGCTATCTACTATTTCACCTCACTGTGCTTGCCAGAAATGGTTTAATATCTGTCATAGCAGAGAGGAGGCAGATTAGAGAAAGACACAGTTACAGAATGGATATGTTATCAATGGTTTTTTCTCTTATATCTTAAAAAAAAATGTAGAGAAGATGCTGTGATTGATCGATATTTCTTTCATCACCTGCAAATCGTAGCTGTATTACATAACTATCATTTGACTTTGTGGCAACATTAAGTTTAGATATTAGTTCTCCATTTTGTTCAAATAGTGTGTATGTTTATGTATGTATGTGTGTGTGCATATGTGTGCATCTGTGTGTGCATATGTTTATACACATATGTATAAAATACTACATCATGCGTGATTGTGTCAACCAAATTCAGATGCTTTTTTCTTGCCTTACATATAAAGCTTTTAATTTTGTAAGCTGGTTGCATGCTTGAACCATTTGTGATAGTTTAGCCTTTTTTTTTCATTTTTCTTTTTGCACTTGCTTTTGGAGTCCAGCAATGATTAAAAGCCAATTTAATTATGTATGCTGTAACATAACCTGTTTGATAACCTCTTTTAGCATCCCTCAGTGTGATTGTCCAAAGGCAGTGCTAGCGTAAGGATGGAGTTTATTTACAAGTGTGTGTTTCTATTCAGTGTCTGTCTTTAGATATTCTGAAATTGCCTACAAGTTGCTCTTCAGTGGAAGTTAACTCAAAATAACCCTGTGTTATGTAGAGCATTCTGTTCCAGCCCCACTGAAAAAGTAGAGCTAAGCAGCAAAGTAGATGGAAAAGAGGTGCTGTCACTGATTAATTGCTGTTAAAGTACAATAAAAATACAGGCTATTAAAACAAAATAAATTAATGTTTTGATACTGCATATTTGACCGGTAACCATTTTTTTTTGTTTTGGACAAACAGTGATAGATTGTGCAGCAATCAATTATTCTAGATCAAGCATATTCAAATAATACATTGTGACATTCAGTAATTTGTTATTTGGAATAATTAGATGGTTACTTCATTGTAGTGCAGACAAGGCAGCTAATTTGTTTTTGATCTTTATAAAAAGGAAAGACTTCATTTGTTCAATGGAGTTGCTCTTTTTAATTAAAAAGGCTAGTTTTCTCATTTGCACTTTATATGAAAGTTGGCTTATAAATACATAATAGTACATGCAGAACGCTGACCAAAAATAAACATTCACATTTGAATTGTTCACTGTTGCCTTTTTCAGCGAGGAAATGAAAGTTCTTTTGAATCCTGAATATCTGGAACATGATGCCTAGTAAGTTTTAACAACTTCCTTCACATTTAATTTACTGCTATTTGTAATACATAGTTTCACACCAAATTTCTGGGTTTTTCCCCTTCAGTGCAATGTTCACACGTCTTATGAAGACTGCAGAACATTGGTTTTCAACTTTTGAACATGACAGCCAGAAGGTAAATATTACTCTGAAAATATGTTTATAACATTTGTAAGCAAATGTGATTTTTGATATGATTGAATTGTATATTCTGTTAAACACCTTGGTTAAAGCAGGTTCAAGTAAGTTAAAATGAAATTCTTCAGAATTTTTTCGTATGCACTTATGGAAAGTCTTCCAGTCGAAGGTTTCTATCTATTGAAAGAACACTTTGTAATCAAAAGCCAAAGGTACACATATAAATTCTGATGTGTAGGAGTGATGTTCTTGTGTAGATGTTTAAAAGATTGCCTGCCAAGGGCACATCTATCTGGTCCACCCAAAACTTGTGCAAATGTCATGCTAAATAAATGCATATAATTAGTATTTAATGTATTGAGGCTTAAATTGGTTTAAATTTGTTTTTTAAACAATTGCTGTGAAACCAAACCTTTGATCGTAGTGTGCCCATCATAGGTCAGGGTTTATCGTTCCCTGACTTCAGCATTTAAACCGATACCTCTTTTTGTTGATGGCGATCCATTTCCTTTCTCTTTTTGACTTCAGGGTATTTGGAACAGCGTGAATGTCTGGGCCCCTACATCACCTGTGAAGCTATACAGACGCCGCTGTACTTAGTATTTCTGACTACATGATGCTTCTTTTCATGCAAAACCTTTTTCTCCATTTAGTTCTGTAGAACTCCGCTCTATTCATTTTTTCAGCACCATCTAGTCCCTACCTGTGACCGTTTTGCGTGCATGGCACATTTAACGATTCCTTCTGACCATTTTGCCTCAGTCAAGTGCTCAAGATTTCCTTAAAATATTTTTTTTCCGGTTAGATTTAGTTCTTCTCTTCTTATAACTCTGTCTCTGTTTTAATTCTGAAGAATGAATTACGTAATGGATTATATGTAAAAGGCTCTAGCAAAACATAGCCATATTACAGGTATCTCCAAGACTTTCAGTGTATTATATCCTGAAAGAGTTGTCCTCCAAACGTGGTTTCAGCTTGCTTCAGTTCAACTTTTTTTCAGTTAGACCATGTGGTGAGTATCTGAGCTAACAGGAAACATCAGAAGAATGTGTTCATTATTGGATGTCTGCGTATGTGCTCTAAAATCTGTACTTAAAAACCCAAATTAAGGAGTACTGGTTTGAGGGGTGGATTTGTCTGTTTCTTGAGGACAAAAAGACGTTCACCCAAGTCCCAGATAAAAGCTTCTGTTTTCCTTAGGCATTTAAATATGTCCGTGTATATATTTCGTTAGACATGGAGTATTGGTATCTTGGCCTGAGCTATCTACGGTTATAAATTACTGTTTAGGTTGAGATTTTTACATAATTGTCAGTAACTACAGATAAAGCATATGCGATATAAATTTTATGAACTTATTACATAGTCACTTTTATTCTAACAACAAAGCTGTGAGACATGTTTCTTTGAGACTAGCTTTTCAGAATTCAGTATATTCAAATGTATTTGTTCCAATTTCTGTGACAGAGGTGGTAGAGTTTGAGGTTGAATTTTATCGTGGAAATAACTAGGTCTGCCTAGAGAGTTACAGTGCTTGGGTAGAAGGTGAAAGTTTACATTGCTCTTCCCAGTCCCTGACATAAAAAATTAGCAATGCAGAGCACAAGGATTAATATCTAGTTGTTTGTTCTTGTTATTTGCAAGCGTATATAATTTTAATAATCCTTGTACATATGCCTTTTACTATCATGACTTTGAGGGTTGGCTACACAGTAAAGTCTGAATCCTCACAAATGAAGCAGTGAAAGCATGTGCTCTGAGATATGTGTACATTTTATAGCCTCTAACAGTTGGTTCCATTACTCCCAATTGCCATTAGAGGAGCTTCTCCAGCTACTGCATTCCCTAGTGGTTAATGAGAGAAATCTGTCCACATTTTATACTTAGAGTATGTCCTAGCCTCTCTTTACTGCAGTAGCATTTGCTTTCTAAATTCATGTATGCATAAGTGGTGTTAGTATGGAACACCAGCCATTCCAGTTCAGGCAATATTTTGTGCCAGGATTTGGCAGTTTGCTTCCTAATACTTGATCTAAATTTTTCAGCTGCATTTCATTGGTATCCGTATTTAAACTGTTCTTAGAGGTGACTGTGATGCTTCCTTGTAAACAGTGTGGCACGTCTCTGAGCTGTCCTATTTTGTCCCCATTCCTTTTGGGAATTATCATTTATATTTCATGTTAGCAGCAGGTGACTAAAGCCATGCATTCATGAACTGTTTTCCAAGACTTAGAAGTTTACAAAAAGAAAACAGATGTTTTGTCCCATGCGGCAAGTTACTGTATAGTGTGTATGGGGTTGGGCACAGTATATCATATGCCACCTAGCTTCTGTGCTTTGGAGACAGATGCTGTGAGTCGTTTCTAGTTAAACATTTTGACTGCTTAGATACATTAGTTTATTTGAGCATCTTTCTGTTTGGGCTATTTCTTTCGCACCAGTTTGTGATTTTTGGAGCAATTTCAACTAATCAAGTGTATTGTCATTTTCTCAACCAAATTGCCTGAGATAACACAGCAAACATGTCATATGCACTCTGGTCGTTCACGAAACTTCTGCATGAAGGGTACAGAGTCAGGAGGTAGGCACAATTAACGCCTGGGTCATTGACTGCAACTTCTGTCCCCACAGATTCTGTCCTGCTTTGAAGAATATTGTTAATAGGGTTGATTTCTTAGGTGCTGATGAACTGTTTTGATGGACACCATCTACTTATCTTACGCTTTTAAAAATGGCCAGCTTAAATTATTTGATGTAGTTTACCATGTTGGTAGTCAGTCAGTCTGACAGGCAGCAGGGGGTCAGTGCTGCATTATGCCAAGGTCCACAAATGCTGCAAATGACAAATAATTCTTGGTTTTTATGTGCGTTCCTCCTTAAGGGAAAACTTAGATTAGCTGTGATAATCAAATTTTTTGATGCTTGAGCCAGCATTTAAGAGTCTGTCTTCAAATTTTGTAAAGATGGCTTAGACCCGCAGACAATTAATGGTGTAAGTGCCAATCTGGGTAACTACGCGGTCTTCCCTTATTAAAAGTTCAAATAGGTAGAAAGATTCTTATACTGAGATTTCTATATAAGAATTTATGGCTGTGATTCAGAAAAGTTCAAAAATACAGGCCTTGGGTGTCATCAGTTAGGAGTGCATACAGCGATCAAGCTGAGGGAGAACTCAACTGGAATAAAGCAGAATAATGCACATATTCCAGGTGTGTGCTAACTGATGGAATATGCTGCATGTTCAGCGCAGTCTGTGAATGCGTGTAGTTACAGAGTTTTATGATTGGTTTCAAAGATAAATGGAGGTGTTCATTCAGAAAGTTATTACAGATTGGCTTTAATGTGAAGGCAGTGTTATTGTTTCATACCTTGAAAGTGTTTTTCTTTATATGAGATTAGAAATAATTAGTGATACTCTTCCTCAGTATTTTAAATTTGGGGATGTGAGCAGTAAAATCATGAACTGGATCTGAAACAACAGTAAAAAATAGCTATACCATGAGAAATGAAAAACAGAGTAAAAAGCAGGCTGCCTAATTTGTTAATTTGCTTCTAAGAGGTTACTTTAAATGGTGACCACAGGGGACGTCTTCCTATAATTAAGTGTAGGATAAGGAAATTTGCCCACTTTTCTTGTGTCCGCCTACTTCCTGTGGGTTTTCAGAAATGGCTGCACACCCTTAGTTGCCTCACGTACTGGCTCATTTCTTAAAGGTCTCTCATGGGCTCGCTGTAGTCATCGTGCAGCCATGTAATTGGCATTTAATCCAGAGATTTTCACAGAACATTTGCCCTGCATGCCACAAGCCACACCGCAGCGTCCGCCCCAGTGTCCCCTCTTTGTTACTGCTACAAATCACTTATGCTCCTCTTTTCTTGAAGATATCTGATAACTTTTAGCTGTGTTAGGAGAAGGCAGAATGTTACTTTTCCTCTTTTGGAAGGACAGCATCACTGGCCCCTCAGATTTAAAGATGAGATGATGCTATGGCGTGCTGTCCAACCAAAGTTTTCCTCTCAGAGGGTGAAAGGAGCAGAGCAGATACCTGATTTGCAGATTTGAGAAAGGAGCAGTGGCAGGAGTGCTGCATAGCAGGAGGGCAGTCAGTATGTTTCTGTCCCTTTGCTGTGAACTGTTTGCTCTGGGGATGAAGGAACGTAGCCGTCGATGGACTATGACCCAGCTGGCCGAAATGAACTCTAAAAGCAAGGAGCCATATGTCAGATACCTTGGGATCAGTAATTGTCCCAGTACCTTCTGTGTATTGCAAAAAATTTATTTTTTTTCTTTCCTCTTTTGAATCTGCCAGAGAACCAGTCATGTTTTTCTAAGGGGTTTCCGTGTATTTCAAACTGTTAGGATCAGTTATTCTTTTTATTAGTTTTCTTTTCATGATATCGAGCACCTGAGTTACCTGTTGACATTGCAGGTCAGTCAAGATTTCTGCAGCTTGTTAACCATCCCTAAGCAAGAGATGGTTTGTCTCTGTTTGCTCTGGAGAACGCTTCTTCCTAGTGGCATATGCCACTAGTTTCTGGTGATCGTGCAGGCGCTCTTGCATTGGAGTCCACACTATCAGTGCACTTAGGTCCTAACTTCTTACAGCAGGGATAGAAGTCTTTTGCAAACTCACAAGCGCGTTTAATTGTAATCACACTGGACTCCCAATAAGATCATGTTTGCTTTCTCTGCGTGTTTTCTGACTTAAGTGGTAAATTTGATGAACCTGTATTTTACTTAAATACGAAGTAGCTCTTTCATGAAGGTCATTTTTTTGATATTCTTTGAAATGTTTCTTCAAGTATGCTTTCTTTTCACATATATCTGTTATTCACATATTCCACATATGTTATTATGATTTCCGTGATATATCTCTTCAGGCTGCGTATTGTACTCTGCTTATAATTAACAAATGGAAAACAATTCTTTGCTTAGTGCAGAAGTTAGGAGAATAATTTAAAAAAGAAGGTGGGAGAAATATCCTCTATCAACTTACCAGTGGCTTTAGAGAGCTTTAGTATTCAAGTAATCATCAGCATTTCTTTTTGGCCCCTAAGATGCTAGAGGTTTAATTTTGCATTTCAGTTTGGTAGAACAGAAAGGTTTTGGAATGAAGGGATGCCATTTCAGTGAGCTTTGTTTGACAGTCTGTGAGGAAGCTTTTGTCAAGCGATTTGCTAGGGCATCTATATGTCATGCTACCACAGTAGCCGTGGCAAAACCACTGCACTGTAATAGACAAATCAAACTCTTTACTGCAGTTGCTATAACAAAGCAATAGTTAAGCAGATTGTAAGATACAATTTATAATTGATCAGATCCTTATATAAAAAACATTTTACCTGAGATCAGTGCTCAGCCCCATAGCATATTTTCTGTGGTACAGAAACTGAACAATTAAAAAACATTTCAGGCAAAGGAGATCAACATAAAGAACAGGATTTTGATAAAAATTATTGAATATTCACTGCCCATTTGAATGCTAAACCATGTTATAAATGATTGTGAAATATGTGTAATTCTCCTTCTTCCTTTTACAATGCTGATACAGAGAGAATGAAGTTGAAGAGGGAGTAAAACCACAGGAAACAACCGTAGGGTTAGCTTATACAATAAAAAGCCCTTTCTTTGTTCTTGAATGTTAGAAATAATGTTCTTTTCACTCTATTGAGCCAAGTGAAGTTGTCTTTCAACAATTTTTAGGAGCACTGCTTCTTCTGAAAGTATTAACCCTTTGAGCTTGATAATGCTTATCTATCGATATACTGAGCAAAAGTATAGAAAAATAGTAACTATTTTTTAAAGTAAAGCTTTCCTATCTGGGAGCCATGCACAAACAACAAAGTCTCCGCTAAGTCTTCTCTTCTTACTGTTCCAGTTTTTCCTCCTTTTTTAATGTTCACATTGTTCCTCATAGGTTAATTCCTTTTCCCTTTCCCCTATCTTTCTCTTGATACATCTGTCTTGTTCTTTTTTATGCCTCATCCTCTTTCTTATATATTTACTCTTCAGTGGTTCATTATTGGCATCTTTCTTCCTTCAGTCTCTTTTTCAATAATAGTTCACTCTTTTACAAAAAGAACAAATTTAAAGTGATGTCAGGTTCAAGGACTCCAGTAATCCAGCAGATTTTTTTCCTCTGTTTTTACTTGTGTATGTCATGTTATAGATCATGGCATAGTTTGCACAACCCTAGGTCCAGCCTGCTACTTTCTAATCATCATATTCATCTCACTGTTCTATTTCTCTTGTTGCTGTAAAGGTTTTCTCTTGCTTTATTAAAATTGTATAGCTATTGAGGTGCAGCCACAAAATTTTCTGAGCAAGGGAAGCCCGGTTAGAAAAGATTATTGGAAAAGAAATTATTTGCTGGTATGCAATTTATTGTCCTCTGAGGGCATACATCCACTACTGAGTTACTGCTCCTCTACTTTGCTCTGGACTGACTCGGACGGCTGGTATTAAAGCAAAAATAAACCTATCAACACTTTGTCAGAGTGTGAAAAGTAAAGCCGTTTCATTGTGACTTGCAAGAGGAGGAAGGGAAACTTGGAACGCCTGGGGAGGGGAATCGCATGACACTTGAGTGGACACTCAAGTGGACACTTGAGATTCCTCTTTCGCTGGAATTATAACGGGTTATTAATGTTCTTATGCTTCTTTGGAAGCCAGTGATTACAAGGGAACAACTCTCTCTCAAATGACAGTGAGGCTTCTTGGGTTGTTTAGTAATATTTTTCCTGCTTTCTATGTCTGTAGGAGAAAGATCCGATGATTACACCTATGCCATTCGCGAGGCCACAAGACTTAGGCCCATCTATTGCTATCGTAGCTAAAGTAAACCAGATTCAGGATCATCTGCTAAAGAAACATGATATTGAGCTGTACATGCATCTGAACCGACTGGAAATTGCTCCACAGATCTATGGACTGTAAGTGTTTACAATGCATTGTTTAATTTAATTCTTTCTAGTTTTATGTCATTGTGTTAGGACACTTCTTGTCCTTAATTTCAGGAATAAAGAAATGGGCGGTAAAAAGAAGTGCTTGTTATCCTTTAGAACTTAATCAATTGACAGCATTACAGTAAATGAAACCCTGGTGTTTGTGGCAATGGCATTCCCAGTGCGGATATAGTCCTTTCAGCTGCGTATTAAAGAGTCTCTCAGAGAAATGATGAAAGTACATACTGAATTAAGTATATTACTATATATTCTACTTGTAGTCTTCCTATTAAATAAGAAACGGGACAATAGGGCAGAACAGGAGAGGGAAAAATTATTAGCATTGAACAATTTATTTACTTAGTTTTGTCGCTAGTTCAACATTAATCAGCTTTCACCTATTGCAATAATGGGCCCTTGTTGAAAGTTAAAGCACAGAGACATCAAAGTGACTCTGCATGCAGTCAGCTCAGGTAGTCCTTAACTTCAGGAACAGAGGAATGGGGGTAGAAAGAAGTGCTTGTTATCCTTTAGAACTTAGTCAGTTGACAGGATTACAGTAAATGAAATCCATTAATCAGGTCTTATTATGTCAGGGGCAGTTTTGGATGAGGCCTGTCCCCATATGTTTGCATAGTGTTGTATTCAAAACCGTTCACGGTTGCTGTACTCAAGCTGGGTCAATAGAGAGCCAAACCAGCAATGCAGATTTGCCATGTGTGATTATGAATTGACTGTGTTTTTGAGAAAGAGTTTTGCCTTCATAGTTTAGAATTCTAGACATTCAATTCACTTTCATCATTCCAGAAAGAGTTAGCAAGCCATATGTGTGGTTGCCATGACAGAAAAATGTGAGTTTTCAGAAAAATTTGAGAGTTTTCTAACATTTTGCTGTGATTTAAAATTAAGGTATACTTTGTCTTAAATTTAAAAAAGAGTTTTATTTGTAACTGCGAATTTCCAAATGTAAGTATGAATTACATTCAACAACTCAATAGAAAATATAGAAAGGAAGGGAGAAGGAGACTGTGAATGTCAGGGCTCAGCTGCAGTACTTACAAATACGGCCTAATTTGATATCATAATAAAATGGAAAAATACTGAGACATAGTACACCCCCAAGAGATGAGTTGAACTGAGAGTAAGTAGTAGTCCCAGACTTACAAATAACATTTATTTGGAAGACAAACTCGGCTGCTTTTAAAAAAAACATCATTCATTAACTTTGTGTTTACATTTACATTTGGATTTCAGGTAAGTTTAGAAAAGTTTCTAAGATGATTCTACACAGCTTATTTAAATAGTTTTGGTATGAATGGGCTACAGGGAGAGGAAGACTAGACCGAGTAAACACAGAGTATTAAAAGTACAAAGAGGACAGATTATCCTGTTAGAGTATTTTTTGCATAAGTAGGGTTGTGTATTTTTTTAATATTTTCACTAGTCTGGAAGAGAAGGCAGACATCACTAATAAACTTCATGGGTGGTAATAATTTGGTAGGCAGTATAAATACCAAGGAAAGCAAAAAGACAGTGTTTCTGTTTTATGAAGGCTTATGAAAACACATAGAAAATAAAGTAAGGTAAACCTCTGGAATCTGCAAACAGATATTTCTGGGCAAAAGTAATTTGTACTGTAGGTATTCACTTCAGTATAAGTATATTTTGCCTTTCAGTAAGGGAAATAATTGAAAGAAAATACAGACTGTAGCTCAAAACATGACATTTTAACAACAGAAGAACAGTGCACTCTCATATGGCATAAATAGAAGAACTGAATCTGAATAAAGAAATTTACAGTTAAGGGAATGAATTATGAGAGAGAGCTTCAGGCTGACTATCAGGAAAACCTTACTAACAGGGAAGTGTTAGACTATAAAATAATATATCAAAATTAACAAATTAACCATCAGAATATTTTAAAGGTAGGCTTTGAAAAGCTCTCGGAAATGGAGAGTGTCATAGAGAGCAAGTCTGCATTGGCAAAGGAGAGAAGTAGGTTGCCTAAGAGGTCGTAGCTTTCTCTGATTTCTGATTTAATACAGAGGACACGAGAAGAAGTGACAGAAAGGAACATGAGTGTGTTGTATTATTCTCACCTTTAATGCTGTCTGAACTCTTCAGAATAGTAATTTCCAGTAGTGACAGCCTCAGATGCTGGATCTTTTTCTGTATTTAACATTTCTTGAACTAGAAACAGCATTTCTTAAACATAATGGGTTATTAATAATTGCTAAACATAACCTATGTGCAGAATTCATGTGAGCTTCTTGTTGAAGGGTTTGGGGTTTTTTTTGCTGAAGTTTTTTCAGTTTGCCAACAGTATTCGTTTGTGATCCTTCATATCACTCTAAATAATATACATATGGTAGAAGGAAGACTGGGAACTGTGCTCAAAAGAGATTATGCAGCTAGAGGAAAAAGGTATCAATATGAAAGGCTTGTATTCAGTGGCAGAGTCTCCTCTGGCCTGAACAAGATATACAATTTATGTATTTAAAAATACAGTATTTTATACCTTGCACGTTTATACCTTGCTACAGAAGGTAATAAAAACAACTCCTTTATACCCTTTGTATTTTCATAGAGTATATTTCCATCTTTGATGTTTACAAATAGCCTTTTTATTTTTACAGTAGTAGGGAGATTTGTTCTGCTGAGATGTCAGGTACCCCAGTCTGCTGTATAATTTCATATTCAGATACTGATATAATATTTGGTTACACATGCTTCTTGAAATTATGGTTGCTTGCTTAGAAGAGCAGTTTTAACAGGCATTTCTTTGCTTGTGGTATGATTCATTAGTTTTGGTTGATGTACAGTGATGCAAAGGCTATGTTGCCATTTTTGTGGAAGGGTATGTTTATTATAGTTTTTATTGTATCAGTATTAAAAAAATTTTTTTTTCTTCATCAGTTAGTCATCTGCAAACCGTGCTGTCATTAGCTGTGCCTTTGTGTTCTAGACTGCACCCTGGGAAGTGCTACCAATTTAAAAGAATTCTTCTTTTCTCCTAATTTCTGTTTCGTGATATATTTTAGCTCAGGGGACTAAATTTCTTTATCGTCAACTAGATGATATCGGTAAACAGACATCACGTTACTTGGCTAATTTCATTTCTCATCAGAAAGGGATCGCTGTTTGGTGTAGTAAGGTCTATTAGTATCCTGGCGATGCAACACTTTTGTTCTGTGATGATGCAAGTTGGTGTTAAATGCTGTAGCCTTAGCAGAGGAGTTTCTCCAACTGGAAATTCTACCACAGATTTGTTCACTGGTAGTCAGCCATTGCAAATCCTTGTAATAATTAACCACCGTTAATATCAGCAGAAATGAACCAGCAATACAGAGATAAAAGGCTTTGTGTCCTATCATTCTTAAGTCTTTTATTTACCATGTCTCTGTTTTGTTTTTAGCCCTTAAGATAATGTGTTGGAGAATAACACTGTTTAACGTTCCTGGTAGCACTGTGTATTGTGTATAGTCTAACCAAAGTATAATAATTATCCCATCATATCTAATTTTCAACTTTGTAAAGCAAAAAGTGTTTTAAAAATAAAATGGAATTGATTGCATTAACAATTATCTGGACCTGCCTCCTGATAATAGATTTTTCACTAAATAAAAACAAAAAATGCTAACATTGAACAAAAAGATTAGATACTATGAAAGGTTGACATATGGAATATTCAGTTTAATTGTAAAATTAAATGAGTTTACAACGATGAATGTCTTAGATTAAATGGTATTCTAGTGTTAATTTCTTTGACCCTTACATCTAATTCCTGTTAAAGTACAAAATAATTATTGCAAAATCATTCTACAGTTTCTGCAGTGGCCAGTGTTTGCAGTGAGAAGTTAAGCAGATTCTGTTCTCAGTTTCGGAAGGGACAAGTTTTGAAGAATGGCTTCATCTATCTATATTTTAGGACATTTTCTCCCACTTACAGTAGTTTGTAGTAGAGGACTTTCTTTTACATGTCATTTAAAAGATGAATAAATTGGAAGAGTCCCGCATAATATTTTTATAGCTACTTTATTTGGTGTACTGAGGGTTACCAAGTGATTTATGTTCATATTGCATCGCATGACAATTCTCATCGAACTGCATGCAATAAGTACAGCCAGGTCATGTATATCGATATAATATGGCTGTATAGAAATGATACACACAAAGATAATGACAAGGCATAAGCGTAAAAAGCTTAAAGAACAAAACTTAGCTGTTGATATAAACTCACTGCCTTCTGCATCATAACACTGATGGCAGATTATGTGCTGATACTATATTGGTTAAGCAAACTCTTTCTAAGCACATATGCCCCAGACATAAAGCGCGTGCAGCAGTGAGTGTAAATATTTCCTGACAGCTTAACCTCAGTGCAAGAAAGGCCTTCTTCAGGACATTTGGTGCCAATGCCGTTGCCTCCTGCTGCCGTTCTACTTACGATCAGTCAGCTAGATAGACTGCATACCGCAGTTTGAGGGTCAGTCAGCCCTTTAGGCTGATACCACAGTTACACTTCAGGAAGAAACCTTTCCACATAGCAAAGAAAAAAGTTTGGAGTGAAGGATGCAAACCACATTAGAGGATAAGCGCCTACTTAACTAGTCACGTGTGTGGACTGGAAGCTAGCCAGGGGAAGGTTATGTTACAGGAAAGTCAACAGCAGATGTGCTGCTCCACTATTATTATTATTACTATTAGTTGCTTTGCTCTGAGCACTGCTGTAGGGCATCCACCTGTTTTAGTTCCTCTCTCTTACCGTTATGGTACCAGGCAATACTCTTTTCCCTACCTGTATTGCTCCCTGGAGGGAGAAGTTAAAAGGATTTTACAGATGCGTTAGAGGAACATAAGTCATATTCATTGTATCCAGAAAAACCTTCTACCAGTCATTACAGAGGAGTAATCTTTATGATATCCAGAAAAAATAACCACGGAGATCAGTCCTACTAAGGAAAACTTTTCAGATCAGCCAGGAGGCT